GGTGTAGTAATTCCCTCACAGATGGTGTTATGAGGGCCTCACGTGGTGTAGTAATTCCCTCACAGATGGTGTTATGCAGGGGCCTCACGTGGTGTAGTAATTCCCTCACAGATGGTGTTATGAGGGGCCTCGTGGTGTAGTAATTCCCTCACAGATGGTGTTATGAGGGGCCTCACGTGGTGTAGTAATTCCCTCACAGATGGTGTTATGAGGGGCTCTCGTGGTGTAATTCCCTCACAGATGGTGTTATGAGGGGCCTCACGTGGTGTAGTAGTTCCTCACAGATGGTGTTATGAGGGGCCTCACGTGGTGTAGTAGTTCCTCACAGACGGTGTTTTATGGTGAGGTGTGGTCCCAGGCCTTCCTATTGTGTGTGTGTGTGTGTGTGTGTGTGTGTGTGTGTGTGTGTGTGTGTGTGTGTGTGTGTGTGTGTGTGTGTGTGTGTGTGTATGAGTGTGTATGAGTGTGTACGTGTGTGTGTGTGTGTGTGTGCTACAGCAGCTTAAGGAAGGCATTACCATAATTTAGCAGTAATATGTAGGTGCTCACCAGCAAGCCACAACACCAGAAACGGAATGAGAATGGATGGGCTAGAGTCATTGTTCTAAATATTTTAAAGTTGTCTGCTGTAAGGAGCCAGAACACAGTGAGACATGTTTACTAACTTCTAAAAAGACTAAAATGATGCCAGATATTTATTTAGCATCTTTAAGTTATATTTTGATAGATAAAAATAGAATATAATTGATGCAGAAAGAAGTGCCTGGCATATGGCCTCCAGTGGGCCGCTGCCGCAAATCAAAATAAATTTCTTAAAATTTGAACTTAAAGCAACAGTGCCAATATATCCCCCCCCCCCTCCGGGCCCTAGAGTGTTGCTGATAACAGTGTAGATCTTCAGCGTTCCTTAGTAAGCTTCTTGTTCCTTCAGAAGAGGATGACAAGGTTAATCCCGGGCATTAAGGACCTTGAGTATAGAGACAAATTTAGAAAACTGAATTTTGTATTATTTGGAGTGACAGACGTAGAGTAGGGGGGGGGGGGTGATCAAAGTGTATTAATGGAAGATGGGGTTGAATAAAGGTGATATAACGAGGGTACTTCTTTTTTTTTACGGGGATTAGCCCACCTGGACACAGGTCACTGACCCACATCGGGGCCTGGGGGGCGAAAATGTAATAATAATAATAATAATAATAATAATAATAATAATAATAATAATAATAATAATAATAATAATAATAATAATAATAATAATAATAATAATTCATAAATAAATAAAATTTATGATAAAAAACCAACATTGAACACGAAGCGATGGTTTTAAATTAGACAAATTTATATTTCAGTTCATAAAAGATAAACATTGTGCTGGAAATAATGTTGTGGGTGAGTGGAACAAATTAACCAAACACTAACATTAACTAGAACTCGTTGAGAAGCTTCAAACATAGGATGTACAGATATATTAGTGATGGTGGTTGGGTGTAGACAGGTCTGCCTAGTATGAACCAATTGACTCGCTGCTGCAATTTCCTTCATTCTTATGCCGAAACAAAAACACTTAGTTTGGGTAGGCTGCAGGTGGCTCAGTACACAGGCTGGATAAGAAGAATAGCACTGACGTCACATTTTGTTTACATTGTGTACTGGAGATACTGGAGATAAAATTATCGGTCCAGCTGCCAACTCAGTGGATGGAACAGTTTCTACCACCTAATGACTTTAATTGTCCCGCATATGATAAAAAAAAAATCCTTTAAATTTGAATCACAGTGTTGAGAAACCTTACCACGCACCGCCATGTTTTATTGATATAGCGTACTGCTGGTGTATGTTGGCTGCATAACAAACTGGCCAGGTTTTAGGTTAATGCGTCACTTCTCATCTTATACAAAGTGGTAATAGTAATCTTATTTAGTTTTTGTATCTGTACGTGATTCCATGACTTCAGATCCCACTTCAACATCGTGTCTGGCAGGCCCCTGTGATACATTCCACAACATTTAACTAATTATTTGTATTTTAAGAACAGAAGAGAAGAAAAACCAAACACAATAAAACTTCTCTGGGTTGGTTCCTAGATTAAAAAAATAAACAATTTAGCGATCTATTACGAGGTGTAGTTCCAACATTGTATCGTGGGAGTGTCTGCTTACCAAGAGTTGTTTGCAAACACACTGACGTTACCGTGGTTTTCCGTGTAGAGTTGTGTGTTGCGTTGTCCACATGTGAAAATAGACCTGTTGTTCTGGGCTTTCTTATAAATTTATATAACGTAGCATCTGGTAGCCATATTTGTTTATTTTTGAGCAAAAGTTAACCCTTGTGTATGGGGTCTCCTCTGAGCTGAATAAAGTCGTCTACTAATAAGACAATGCATATTCAGCTGCACAATAATAACCTCCTCTTACTTTCTTTTTACGGTGGCGAAGGCTAGACCAGAAGCGTTATATAATCTGGTAAAAACTATCATGTTGTTAGTGGTAAAGGTTAAAGTGGCCGGATGATCAGTAGAGATGATCACTGGTGAAGGTGAGGGTTAAAGCGCTCGCTTGACCACCGCGTAGGTCAGTGTTACCAGACAGGCGCTCACCCTTCTCTCACTGACGTGCCAATTATTTTTTTTTATCTTTTATACTCACACACACACACACACACACACGGACCACACAGTTTATGTTCTACTTGTCAGTCACATGATATATCTCCCATTATTTTTTGACAGTTTTTATATGATGGTCGAACTAACATATCATATTTTTACAAAGCAATATAAGAATATTTAAATGTGGGCTTTACTGAATTAAAACTTAAAACCACGTTCATTTTATTTCCATCAAAACACAATTTAGATGGAACTGCGACACAACACAGATTAGGACGGTACACCATACACAAGGAACTGCGCGAAAAAACACCAAAAATACCATTAAATAACAGCAACAACAAGGATAAAGGGATACACTCTTGTTAACTATACCACAACAGCTAGCCAACCAAACCATTACACACCAACACCACAACAAGTGTCTGGTAATGTAGTAGACCAGTGTAATGTGTTCATCTGTGTGTTCAGTGTTCCGCTTCAGCCGAGTACAGTACCTGCACCTGGGTAGTGTGTGGTATAAGGTAATGGTGACCTTATACTTCGGGTGGGATATTAGGGCTAGTCACGTGTTAATTCATGCCTATTCTTCTGGTATTTTTCAGAACCCTAGGCTGATAACATACCCCAGGCTGACAACATACCCCAGGCTGACAACATACCCCAGGCTGACAACATACCAGGCTGATAACATACCCAGGCTGATAACATACCCTAGGCTAACACCATATCCCTGACTGACAACATACTCAAGCTGACAATGTACCATAGGCTGACAACATACCCCTGGCTGTACCCCATACTGACAACATACCATAGACTGACAACACACCCCAAGTTGACAACCGAGTAAAAATAAATAACATTGGGCAAACTATAAAATACTTAACAAGTATAAAGCCACAGAAATATAGTAAATGTTGCCTGATAAAAGTCGAATACATTGTTTATTCATCAGAGGGACACAACCAGTAGTTACTTTACACACCAACACCCACTCAAGTGTGTCGCGTCGTCTCTCGTGTGTTGACCAATATACACCAAGCATCTAAATGTTCTTACTAGCTGTGTGAATGTTAGTTATGACTGCTTCACTTATTTCCTGTCACCACATCAAAAATTAGCAGAAAATTTAAGATTATGACCTGATTTTTTTTTTTGGGGGGGATTACTTCACCTGCACACCTTTAGGTCAACTAGGGTCAACTGGGGTCACATTACCTGTATTATAACTTGTGTTTGAGGTTTTTGTTGTAGTATATTTTTTTATCATAGAAATAATAATAGCAATGATGATAATAATAACAATAATAATAATCTTCCATTGCCTTTCAGGAAAAACTTACATTTACACAACGATGCAGTCAACAAATAAAACTCTGTATTTATCAGTTTACAGAATTTTTCCTATTATGACTTGTAGGATAAGGTGTGAGTTGATCTGTATTCTACCTCCATTCATCCCTTACATAGACACAGCTCGCCTATAAGTCTCAAGATAGGTAAATGTGGTGTTGACTGAGGCATATAACTCCTTCCCGACCACACTGTGCTATAATGAGATGCCTAACCTAACCTAACCTAACCCATGCTATATGATGAGCTTATAATTTATTCATTACAAACTTTAATTGACATCTGTAGAAAAATTCAAAAGTCATTTAGCCGTTGCTTATAATTACGTTAAGAATGATTAAACACAATTAAACTGAATCGTAACCAACTTAATGAAAATTAACCTGGCCACACAGGTGAAATTACCTGGTGTCTGTCTCTGCCACCCGAGCCACACCTTGGGCTGAGTGTTGCATAACGTGGTTGTTTTACTTATACATACAAAGTTATTAAGTCAAATCATCACACAAGTTCACAATGACTCGGTGTATACATAGTGGGTTCAGGTGTAGATAGTGGGTTCAGGTGTAGATAGTGGGTTCAGGTATACAGAGTGGGTTCAGGTATACATAGTGGGTTCAGGTATACATAGTGAGTTCAGGTATACATAGTGGGTTCAGGTATACATAGATGGTACAGGCGGTATACAGTAAGTCAAGGACAGTCTAATTAACACCTGACACACTAGTACAGGTGAGGCTTCAAAACAATTAACAATACCACTCACGATCAAACGAGGTTGTTACGCCACTTTACATTAGAAGATTGAGTTAATTTGTCATCCCTTCTCATCTATACAAACACTGGCCACCATTGTCTCATAAACTCATGTGTGTAAAATTGTCTTAGTTTTCGCTACTTGATGAAAGAGTAAAGCAGAATAGAAGCAGTGTGTGTGTGTGTGTGTGTGTGTGTGTGTGTGTGTGTGTGTGTGTGTGTGTGTGTGTGTGTGTGTGTGTGTGTGTGTGTGTGTGTGTGTGTGTGTGTGTGTGTGTGTGTGTGTGTGTGTGTGTCTGCAACACTTCTGCAACAGCCAGAATATATAAGCAGCCTCCTGGAACAGTCTGAAACCTTTATGGTGGGAACAGGTCCAGGTAACTTTCATACAGTGTTGACGACCATCTCACTACGGACATTAGGGAAGTAATATACTACGACCCTGACAGTGATCAGAGTCTCACAGGAGCACTCCTCTCAACCAGATAAACCGGACCACCTGGACTCTCTGGTGGCTCTTAAAACTCACTGGCGTCTCACTAAGCTCATTGGTGGCTCACAAGACTCACCTGTGGCTCACAAGACTCACCGATGGCTCATAAGACTCACCTGTGGCTCACAAGACTCGGCATCTTCATTGTCACTGTTCAAGTTTGGTGGTGATTTGTAGGACTAGTCAACACTGTGGCAGAGTTCCGTGGAGCGAGGCGGTAACGTGGAGCAGGTAATGGTAAGCTATATCTCGCCTTAATACCAATCAAATGGCCTCAAGATTGTCTGGACAAGTGACTAGGGCGGGGAGGAGGAGGGGGAGGGGGGGGCCTTTAACACGCTAGTAAAAAGAGAATATAAACTTTATTTTCACCAAGTTTTTTTTTCCACTGTTTTAGGGGATAGAAAGCGATTTTGCACCGTTAGGTTTGAAGGTGCGTTATATATTGTTTTAACATTGTGGATATATAATATACTGCTGTACTTATTCACGCTTGTTTTATGCAGGTTCCTGGAGGCCTCGTCAGGGAGTGAGCAGCACCACTCGTGTTGCTGTTCGTTACAACTAGATTTTTTCCTTCCCTGCGTTGAATGTATAATGAAGGGAAACACTCATATGACCTTCAGGTAAGTTTGGTTATTATGTTCTTTTTCTTTCTCGAATAAAAAAAAACATTTAGATTATATTGATCAAAAATAATATGCCTACATACTGTATATATAGAGCAAAAAATAGTTATGTATGTATCTGCATATTTATTTGAATTATTATTATTAGTAGTAGTAGTAATAGTAGTAGTAGTAGTAGTAGTAGTAGTAGTAGTAGTAGTAGTAGCAGCATCTCTATAACTGATACAGCAGACATACTAAAATATATCGAGTCTTAAACAACATTAATAGCCAAAGACTTTAACAACCGGGGGTCTTTTAAACACCCCCAGAAGGTTTTAAGCACCCTAGTGGTATCTCAAACACCCCGTAGGTATTCTTAACACCCCCCAGAGGTATTCTTATCACCCCAGAGGTATTCTTAACACCCCCAGAGGTATTATTAACACCCCAGAGGTATTTTAACACCCCAAAGGCATTAACACCCCCAGAGGTATTCTTAACACCCCAGAGATATTTTAACACCCCAGAGGTATTCTTAACATCCCAGAGATATTTTAACACCCCAGAGGTATTCTTAACACCCCCGGAGGTATTTTTAACACCCCCGGAGGTATTCTTGACACTTCAGGGGTATTTTAAGCTTCCGGGTGCATATTTAAAACACTTTTATGATGTAATGTTTCCTAATTCTCCCAACACACGAGTACAGTTACCAGATCGTGACTCGTGGTAGGCGGGGACATGACACAGTGAGGTGGTGGTGGGCTGGGGAGGCGCTGGGCTCTCTACAACACTAGTCTGTTTAGTATTAGTATTATTATTATTATTATTATTATTATTATTATTATTATTATTATTATTATTATTGTTGTCGTTGTTGTTGTTTTTGTTATTGTTGTTGCTTTTATTACTATTATCATTATTACCATTGTGTATTATTGTTATTTATTATTATTGTTGTTATATTATTATTATTTGTAGTAGTAGTAGTAGTATTTATATTATTTTTATTATTATTATGAGCACAACTACCATATTACAAGCAGTAAAATTGACAATAACCAGATGAAGGCAGAAAATGTGTGTGTGTGTGTGTGTGTGTGTGTGTGTGTGTGTGTGTGTGTGTTAATATAAAAATAACGTATTTTTTATTTAAATACAGTTAACACTTTTTGTTATATAAAACATTCAATTTGTATTAATCTGTTTACATTCCGTCTCAAGTAATGTTCAAATTGTTGTAAGTAAAGTTGTTTCTTATTTACTAGACAGCGATAAACCTTTACCATAGTAACCGATAAGAGCTATAGAGGACACTGACGTTGTTTACTATGCTCGCCCTCTACCATGTACTCCTTATGTGAGAGTCAAACATCATATAACATCGAGTACATTACTTCCTATAGATGGCTGGACGTACAGTATAATCCGTCAACTCTCAATAACAGCTTCAGCCGAGTGGGCCACGACACCTCACTACCACACTACTACTACTACTACTACTACTGCTACTACTACTACTGCTACTACTACTACTACTAGTTTGTACAGACTCCAACCTCTCCTTATACCCATACTTCTCTACTACTACTACTACTACTACTACTACTACTGGCGTTTTAATGGTTCTTATCAGCGGTTGAAATGTGATTCAATGCTACTTGTGAAAATTATATGTCTTTCTGTCTTCATAAAAATTATTGGCATCTATCCTATACACCTGAATATTTTTACACGTCTAACTAAAGGATTTCAACAAACACACACACACACACACACACACACACACACACACACACACACACACTTACTTAGAGCAGTTATATGACCCCATAGTTCACGTGTGCGATCTTCACTTTATATCACATTGGTGTACTTCACATTTGTTGGGGAGGTGTGTGTGTGTGTGTGTGTGTGTGTGTGTGTGTGTGTGTGTGTGTGTGTGTGTGTGTGTGTGTGTGTGTGTGTGTGTGTGTGTGTGTGTGTGTGTGTCCTTTGATGCCTCTCCTCATAACAACATTCGCTTATCACGTCTGTCATTGTATAGTTTAAATAAAATCTATATTCCTTTATTTGGTTGTTATCGTTACTATGTCTGTCTGTCTGTTTTCTTCATAAATCGCCGTCAATTATTTTATGCAGTATGTGTGTCAGTGTGCTGGAAACTTGACCTCAAATCTCCTTACTGTGTTTGATTCATTGTATAATTTCTCTTTTAAAAATATTCAAGGTCTTGTTTTGATGTGTAGCGAGTAATAATAATGTTACTCTCTCTCTCGTCGCAGTGTTGTATCACCAACAAATTCTGGCGACAAAAGTGTTGTTGTGTGAACTGATGATAAACATCGGCCTATAGTGTACACATACTGGACCACCTCTGCACCAAATTATTAATATCTATATTTAAATTCAATTTCATATTGTATGTTACATTTCCTTGGCCAGCAGTTTTATTTTGAAATTTTAATAAAAGTTTAATGATGTTAAAACTCCTCAAAAGGCTTTGTTAACTTTAATATTACTTCATTATACTCGTCATGTCCTTGTTAACTTAACCTGGACCGTGTTCACACTCGCTATGTTTTATAAACTCCTGACAGTCTACATATAATATAGGTATTTATTTACTAGTATTTAAATAGTTTGTATCACATATATATGTAAGCGATTTTGGGTATCTTAGTGCTGTACACGACATTATATATAATGTATTAACGCGACGCCAATCAATATATATATATATATATATATATATATATATATATATATATATATATATTATTGTGTGTGCCAATTGAGATAAATATATTATATGTTACAGTAGATTAACTATTCGCTACATGATAAAATAAGAAACATACCTTGTTAAAAGCACGTTGATCGAGAAGAAGCACTGATATTCATATATTTATTGGCAATTGATATGCCCGATTTTCTAAAATTTTCAATTAACGTTTTAATACCATGGAAAAAAAAAGAATTGTATCACAGCGTCAAGTGACGTACAGTAACAACGAAACTAGAAGCAACACTAAACAGATGGCTGGCTTTCCAGACTCAATGTTGTGACACCAGGAAAGAGGTTGTCGTACTGTACTACTTTTAGGTGCATACAATATATATAGTTTGATATACTTTATTATAGTTAGATGCTTCATGTATACTTTCCATCCACTCTGCTTATAAGTATTTGTTGTATTATAGTATATATTTAATGTAATTTGAGGTAGATAACTATACATGTAAAGCAGGAAGACTGACCTCATACGCCCGCCAACCAAGTTTTCCAGCTGGTTGCGTTGGGTTTCCATTTGATTCGCCTGTGAATCTGTGACTCTGTGAGCTGCTTGTGTATGGAGAACACACGCAAATTAGGAATAGAATATAATTCATGTTTCAAAATAATTTCAGATATAACTGAGAGGTATTCTGCGTTTATACACAGTTGCTTGTAAACGAAGTGAGAGCAGTGTATAAATCTTTAATTTCCGTAGCACCCTCAGTAGGGTAATGTTTCAGAAAATTTAATTCCGAGGTTGCATATAGTGAAGCTTATATATATATATATATATATATATATATATATATATATATATATATATATATATATATATATATATATATATATATATATATATATATATATATATATATATATATATATATATATATATATATATATATATATATATATATATATATATATGTGTGTGTGTGTGTGTGTGTGTGAACGACAAGAAATGTACGTAATTAATATAATGTAAATACAAATAAACCACTTGAGTAGTGAAACAAACAAACAAACGACGCTTATGTACTCGTGTATTCATTTGAAAATGAGAACACACTGCAGTGCTGAGGACGGGGCCAGGTGTGGGTAGTTCTTAAATTTTGTAGTAATTACCAGGTAGACCGGTGACCGCGGCGGGAGTGCAATACCTCCACACTAGTTGTACATTCATGTAACAATACAGGCTTGGCTAGTACGACTATCAAGGAAAGCTGCTATTTGTCAGGTGTCAGTGCCACAGTCAAGATCAAAGTGCTATAAACCTGAAAATGAACCAATTTCGTAATAACTTCTGCAGGTCCGTGCTTCATGCCTGCAGTAGTCCTGTACTGCTGGGGTAGTGGAGGCAAACTAAGCTCTCACAAGTTATGTTTGTTGTTGCAGCCAAGGTGTGTGTGGGTGCGAGGGAATAGGGACGAACATTACCTGCACTGTTTATGTACATCGTTTATATACCTGCACCATTTATACCACTCACCTCTCTCTCTCTCTCTCTCTCTCTCTCTCTCTCTCTCTCTCTCTCTCTCTCTCTCTCTCTCTCTTTCTCTCTCTTGCTTCGAGGTTACCTGTGGAAATTAAGGCAAGGAAAATGACACGGACAGGTAGGGAGTGATGAAGGGAGGAAGGAATGAATGGGGACTAAACGTAAATATGTGAAAAAGAAAATTGGAAGAATAAAGAAAATGAGAGAACAAAGGTTGGTGAGAGAGAGAGAGAGAGAGAGAGAGAGAGAGAGAGAGAGAGAGAGAGAGAAGAACAATAAGGCGAAGGGAAGAGATGAACTTATTGTGGTGATTATGCATGGCAGTCGGAAGACCCTAGAGAAATGGCAGACATAAGACCCCAGAAAAACAGGCAGACATAAGACCCGAGAGAAATGGGAGACATAAGACCCCAGAGAAATGGCAGACATAAGACCCCAGAGAAATGGCAGGCAGACATAAGACCCCCAGAAAAATGCAGACATAAGACCCCAGAAAATGGCAGACATAAGACCCCAGAGAAATGGGAGACATAAGACCCAGAGGAAAATAGCAGCATAAGACCCCAGAAAAATGGCAGACATGAGCCCCAGAAATAGGAGACATAAGACCCCAGAAATGAACTATAAGACCCCAGAAAAATGGCGGGGCCATAAGGCTAGAGAAATGGGAGACATATAAGACCACGAAAGCGGCGAACCCATACGACCCCAGAGAAATGGCAGACATAAGACCCCAGAGAA